CCTTCCTTCCTTCCTTTCCTTCCTGTCCCTTCCCTTCCTTCCTTTTTCTTCCCTCCCCTCCCTTCCCTTCCCCTTCCTTCCTTCCTGCCTTCCTGCCTTCTTTCCTTCCTTCCTTCCCTTTCCTTTTCCTTTCTTCTTTTCTTTTCTTTTCTTTTTTCTTGAGAGATAGAGTCTCACTCTGTCGCCCAGGCTGGAGTGCAGTGGTGCAATCATGACTCACTGCAGCCTCAATCTCCTGGGTTCAAGCGATCCTCCCACCTCAGCTTCCTAAGTAGCTGGGACTACAGGTGCCACCATGCCCAGCTAATTTTTACATTTTCTGTAGAGATGGGGTCTCGGCCTCCAGCTTCAGATTACAGGTATAAGCCACTGTGTCCAGCTGATTCTGGGTTTCTTGATCTTTGTATTGCAGCTACAGTGGTTTCAAACTCAATTCAAGGGGTGGTCTCAGAGGTTGTAGTGCCACTGGGAGTTAGTTCAGAATTCTGGAATTCCTTCCTGGATGTTCAGGTTAGAACCCACCATTCTGGCTTTTCCAACAATTTCGAAAACATCGAATTCTCTATTAAGTCTCTCTTTGGTGGCTGGGTGCAGTGGATCATGCCTGGAATCCCGCATTTTGGGAGGCTGAGGTAGGAGGATCACTTGAGCCCAGAAGTTTGAGACCAGTCTGGGCAATACAGCAAGACCCCCCATCTCTACAAAAAATAAGTTAAAAAGATTAGCAGGGGTCGGGCACGGTGGCTCACACCTGTAATCCCAGCACTTTGGTAGGCCGAGGCGGGCAGATTGCGAGGTCAAGAGATAGAGACCATCCTGGCCAACATGGTGAAACCTCGTCTCTACTAAAAATACAAAAATTAGCTGGGCATGGTGGCACGTGCCTGTAGTCCCAGCTACTCAGGAGGCTGAGGCAGGAGAATCGCTTGAACCCTGGAGGTAGAGGGTGCAGTGAGCTAAGATCGCGCCATTGTACTCCAGCCTGGTGACAGGGCGAGACTCTGTCTCAAAAAAAAAAAAAAAAAAATTAGTGGGGTGTGGTAGTGTGGGCCTATAGTCTCAGCTTTTTTGGAGGCTGAGGTGGGAGAATGGCTTGAGTCCAGGAGATTGAGGCTGCAGTGAGCTATGATCATGCCACTGCACTCTAGCCTGTCTCGAAAAAAAAAAAAAAATCTCTCTTTGGTTAAAAATGCCCAGAGGGGCTTTCTACATAAATCCTTACAGGCACAGGAATAAACTAAACCATCTCTTTCTCCTGCACCCCGACAGCACAGTACCTAGCGTAGGTCCCCCTCTCCCTAAGAAAACCTCATGCCCCATACCAGCTGACCTGGCACCATGGCTGGCCTCTGAGCTGCCCAAGCCCATGCTGGACATTTGCCTCTTTGTGCATCGTTCATTCCCTTCCCTTGCCCTGCTTTGTCCTGTATGCAGGAAGCTGACTCCTGCAAATTACATTTCCCTTGTCCACATACACAGTGCCTTGTCCACTGGTTTCTTGTTGGGTTCAACCAACGCAATACACTGGTGATAAACTGGAGGGTGAGATAAGGGGAATGCCAGAGTATTTCTTGTCCTCTCTCTGCTTCCAGTGGCATCTATTTTGTGGAGCCAGCTTCTGCCAGGCAACACCCGCACCACAGCCTCTCAGCTCCCAGCCATTGGCCCCTCCACAGTTAAAGCTCTGCCCTGGCACTCCAGCTCCTGGAGTCATGTACATACTATCTCCCTGCTCTGACTGTCTAGATCTATGGGTAGTGGCCGCTTCCTGAAATTGCTAATCTTCGAGTTGCCTCACCCTCCCCTGGTTTCGGCTTTTCCAACACTGTTGTAACTGGGTTCTCAAATGAAATCACCTCTAGCGTGAGCTACCTGGTGAGCTGGGTTTTCCTGACAGTGTGGTTCCTCCTATCTGCTACAAGTGGAGCTCCGGGCCTTGAGCCACGTCTTCCTTCCTTGTGGACACAGTCTGTCTCCCCTGCGGCCTCCCTGGCCATTTTGTCCTGGCCCAGCCTGAAGAAACATCCGGGCAAAATCCTTCTGGGTCCCTTTCCCCAGCTGGGGAGTAGGGGGGCAGGGGAGGAGCCAGGGTGAATGGCAGCTTTCGCCAACACCTCACTCTTCTCTTTTCGACATGTTTACTCACAGGCTGTCTGGGAAGTGAGAATCCTCCCTAATGGATGTTTCACCCAATTAAATAATTAACTCCAAGTGTTGCTAAGCATCCTCGCCTCTCGCCTTCCAGTCCTGGAGGCTTCCTCATGCCAGGCCGAGGCTGCTGCTGACACAAGGAGCCTAGGGTAGACTGCCCTGTTGCCTCTGCACGGAGTGCCCCTGATGCTTCTGTACAGGATGAGGGAGATAAATGCACCTGAGAAGGAAGGGAAGAAGGGGTGTTTAGACAGGAGGCTGAGGGGAGGCTGAGACTCACAGGAAGTGGCATTAGAACCTTCTGGAGCCTTTCTATTGAATATTTAGTCCTTCAAGGTTTCCCTCTCCCCCTATTCTTCCCATACCCCACAGCAGGGTCCTTGTTCCTTCAAGGAAGGGGAAAGGAAGGGACACAGGTTTCTTTCTAATGGGTGGTCTTGAGTTATGAGGACTTACAGAGCTGAGCTGCTCTCCTAACCAGACAGTCAGGTAAGGAACCCCGAGGGGAGAGGCTAAATACATTCATCCTGTGGAATATCACTCAGCCCTTAAAAAGAACAAGATACATTTTCCTGTATAGATGGGAAAAGATCTATCAGATACTATAAAGTGAAAAAATGCAGATACCAGTACATGCAGTTTAACTTAAGTAAAAATAATGTGCACATCTATGCATATACTTGTCTACCTATGGAAGGAGGACTGGAACTAGGGACACCAAACTATTCCAAGGGGTGACCTCTGTGCCTTAAAATGGAGTGGGGAGAAGGCTAGTGCTCTCATTTTATTCTCTGCACCCCTGAAATGCCTGATTCTTACAAGAATGTGTTATTATATCACTGCCACAATTAAAACAGCAATAGAGGCCAGGCGTGGTGGCTCACACTTGTAATCCCAACAGTTTGCGAGGCCGAGGCAGGCAGATCACCTGAGATCAGGAGTTCAAGACCAGCCTGGCCAACATGGTGAAACCCCGTCCATACAAAAATACAAAAATTAACCAGGCATGATGGTGGGTGCCTGAAATCCCAGCTACTTGGGAGGCTGAGGTGGAAGAATCGCTTGAACCTGGGAGGCGGAGGTTGCAGTTAGCTGAGATCGTGCCGTTGCACTCCAGTCTGGATGACAGAGTTAGACTCCGTCTCAAAAACAAAAACAAACCAATACAGTGAGGAATATGAAAGGAAAAAAAGAAACAACTATGCTCTTAAAAAATGGCACAGGGAGGCATGTGCGAGTTAGGACAAAGTGAAGAAAATGCATTCTTAACCCTAGGGATTTTAGATTGTTGAATCAATATTCTTCTATCTTTTTGGCCTCAAATCACAGTAAGAAATAGATTTTCATCAGATCCCAGTATACATATGTATACTTGTACTTATGTATTTGAAACAGACTTTCCAGTAAATAATGCTTGCATTTAGTATACATCATGCACCCTAGTATTTTCTATTCTTTTCTAATTTTCCCTTTTAAAATACTGGTTGTGGCCAGATGCGGTGGCTCATGCCTGTAATCCCAGCACTTTGGGAGGCAGAAGTGGGCAGATCACCTGAGGTCAGGAATTTGAGACCAGCCTGGCCAACATGGTGAAACCATGTCTGTACTAAAAATACAAAACAAAATTAGCCAGGTGTGGTGGCGGACACCTACAATCCCAGCTACTCAGGAGGCTGAGGCGGGAGAATCATGTGAACCAGGATACAGAGGGTGCAGTGAGCCGAGATCATGCCACCATTGCGCTCCAGCCTGGGCCACAAGAGCAAGACTCCGACTCAAAAAACAAATAAATAAATAAATACTGGTTGTGACTTTATTTTATTTCATTTTATTTTTTGAGGCAGGGTCTCATTCTGCCATCCAGGCTAGAATGCAGTGGTACAATCTCAGTTCACTGCAACCTCTGCTTCCCGGGTTCAAGCGATTCTCCCACCTCAGCCTCCCAAGTAGCTGGGATTACAGGCACGTACCACCATGCCCAACTAATTTTTGTATTTTTAGTAGAGATGGGGTTTCACCATGCTGGCCAGGCTGATCTCGAACTCCTGGCCTCAAGTGATCTGCCCGCTTGGCCTCCCAAAGTGCGGAGGTTACGGGTTTGAGCCACCGCGCCGGGCCTAAAAATATTGGTTGTGACCTTCTAAATAGATTTCATGAGCATTAATGGGTTCCAGACAGCAGTTTGGAGAAACTGCCTCAACTGTTGGGGCTCTGGGCCGTCTTGGGAAAGGTTTGACCATCAAGCTCTCAGGGACCCAACGGGTCAGGAGGGGATCTCTCAAGTCTTTTCAGCAAGTCCCTGAAGGAATGGGGAGAGTGGTCCTTCAGGACATGACCACTGGATGGCAGTGCTGGCTGCATTTCCCACCAATCCAGGCTCCAGCCCAGAGGCTTTTCTTGTAAACCACTTAGAAACC